ACGCTGCCCAATACTGTCACTATGGCGGTGTGTCCACTCACAGGATGAGTGGCGCTGCCCAATACTGTCACTATGGCGGTGTGTCCACTCACAGGATGAGTGACGCTGCCCAATACTGTCACTATGGCGGTGTGTCCACTCACAGGATGAGTGGCGCTGCCCAATACTGTCACTATGGTGGTGTGTCCACTCACAGGATGAGTGGCGCTGCCCAATACTGTCACTATGGCGGTGTGTCCACTCACAGGATGAGTGGCGCTGCCTAATACTGTAACTATGGCGGTGTGTCCACTCACAGGATGAGTGGCGCTGCCTAATACTGTAACTATGGCGGTGTGTCCACTCACAGGATGAGTGGCGCTGCCCAATACTGTCACTATGGCGGTGTGTCCACTCACAGGATGAGTGGCGCTGCCTAATACTGTAACTATGGCGGTGTGTCCACTCACAGGATGAGTGGCGCTGCCCAATACTGTCACTGTGGCGGTGTGTCCACTCACAGGATGAGTGACGCTGCCCAATACTGTCACTATGGCAGTGTGTGTCCACTCACAGGATGAGTGGCGCTGCCCAATACTGTCACTATGGCAGTGTGTGTCCACTCACAGGATGAGTGACGCTGCCCAATACTGTCACTATGGCGGTGTGTCCGCTCACAGGATGAGTGGCGCTGCCCAATACTGTCACTATGGCGGTGTGTCCACTCACAGGATGAGTGACGCTGCCCAATACTGTCACTATGGCAGTGTGTGTGTCCACTCACAGGATGAGTGGCGCTGCCCAATACTGTCACTGTGGCGGTGTGTCCACTCACAGGATGAGTGGCGCTGCCCAATACTGTCACTATGGCGGTGTGTCCACTCACAGGATGAGTGACGCTGCCCAATACTGTCACTATGGCGGAATGTCCACTCACAGGATGAGTGGCGCTGCTCAATACTGTCACTGTGGCGGTGTGTCCACTCACAGGATGAGTGACGCTGCCCAATACTGTCACTATGGCGGTGTGTCCACTCACAGGATGAGTGACGCTGCCCAATACTGTCACTATGGCGGTGTGTCCACTCACAGGATGAGTGACGCTGTCCAATACTGTCACTATGGCGGTGTGTCCACTCACAGGATGAGTGGCGCTGCCCAATACTGTCACTATGGCGGTGTGTCCACTCACAGGATGAGTGGCGCTGCCCAATACTGTCACTATGGCGGTGTGTCCACTCACAGGATGAGTGGCGCTGCCCAATACTGTCACTATGGCGGTGTGTCCACTCACAGGATGAGTGGCGCTGCCCAATACTGTCACTATGGCGGTGTGTCCACTCACAGGATGAGTGGCGCTGCCCAATACTGTCACTATGGCGGTGTGTCCACTCACAGGATGAGTGACGCTGTCCAATACTGTCACTATGGCGGTGTGTCCACTCACAGGATGAGTGACGCTGTCCAATACTGTCACTATGGCGGTGTGTCCACTCACAGGATGAGTGACGCTGTCCAATACTGTCACTATGGCGGTGTGTCCACTCACAGGATGAGTGGCGCTGCCCAATACTGTCACTATGGCGGTGTGTCCACTCACAGGATGAGTGGCGCTGCCCAATACTGTCACTATGGCGGTGTGTCCACTCACAGGATGAGTGGCGCTGCCTAATAGTGTAACTATGGCGGTGTGTCCACTCACAGGATGAGTGGCGCTGCCCAATACTGTCACTGTGGCGGTGTGTCCACTCACAGGATGAGTGGCGCTGCCCAATACTGTCACTATGGCGGTGTGTCCACTCACAGGATGAGTGGCGCTGCCCAATACTGTCACTATGGCGGCAGGAGAGAGAGAGAGAGAGAGAGAGAGAGAGAGAGAGAGAGAGAGAGAGAGAGAGAGAGAGAGAGAGAGAGAGAGAGAGAGAGAGAGAGAGAGAGAGGCTGAGGAGAAAGAGAGAGAGACACACAGAAACAATTTCAGGTCAACAGAGGTCACGGAGAGTATTTCCACCCACACGGTGTTCAACTACACTATGATGGCTGGAGCAACTGTCTCACAACCGCCTGTTTTGGTGGGAGGGGAGGGAGGGGGGGGGGGAGCGAAGGGAGGGGGTGTGGGTAGGGGGGAGGAGGGGTGATGGGAGGGGGTTGTGGGTAGGGGGGAGGAGGGGTGATGGGAGGGGGTTGTGGGTAGGGGGGAGGAGGGGTGATGGGAGGGGGTTGTGGGTAGGGGGGGGGAGGAGGGGTGATGGGAGGGGGTTGTGGGTAGGGGGGAGGAGGGGTGATGGGAGGGGGGTTGTGGGTAGGGGGGAGGAGGGGTGATGGGAGGGGGTTGTGGGTAGGGGGGGAGGAGGGGTGATGGGAGGGGGTTGTGGGTAGGGGGGAGGAGGGGTGATGGGAGGGGGTTGTGGGTAGGGGGGAGGAGGGGTGATGGGAGGGGGTTTTGGGTAGGGGGGAGGAGGGGTGATGGGAGGGGGTTGTGGGTAGGGGGGGGGAGGAGGGGTGATGGGAGGGGGTTGTGGGTAGGGGGGAGGAGGGGTGATGGGAGGGGGTTGTGGGTAGGGGGGAGGAGGGGTGATGGGAGGGGGTTGTGGGTAGGGGGGGGAGGAGGGGTGATGGGAGGGGGTTGTGGGTAGGGGGGAGGAGGGGTGATGGGAGGGGGTTTTGGGTAGGGGGGAGGAGGGGTGATGGGAGGGGGTTGTGGGTAGGGGGGAGGAGGGGTGATGGGAGGGGGTTGTGGGTTGGGGGGAGGAGGGGTGATGGGAGGGGGTTGTGGGTAGGGGGGGGAGGGGTGATGGGAGGGGGTTGAGAGCTTACAGTTCACCGTGGGTACCATGCTATTTCTACCCCGCTTTATTAACATTAATAATATCTTAGCTTGTAGATCTCTTAGCACAGTAGTCTACATTCTCGGGTTACAACCGTGGGACACTGTTTCAATCAACTGTTGTGAGTGGCGTTCCGGGGAAGGTCAGGGGGGCCCTGGATGAGGCTAAGGGCAAGCTTCCTGTCGACAACGGGCAGGTAATACGGTCATTATCAGAAGAAGCCGCTAAGCCTGTATGACTTAGGACAGTGAAGGAAATGTCTCTTAAGCCACTTGAACGATCCGGGAAGCCGCTGGCTGAGTGGACAGCACACTGAAAACGTGATCCTGTGGTCCCGGGTTCGATCCCGGGCACCGACGAGAAACAATGGACAGAGTTTCCTTTCACCCTGATGCCCCTGTTACCTAGCAGTAAATAAGTACCTGGGAGTCAATCAGCTGTCACGGGCTGCTTCCTAGGAGTGGAGGCCTACTGAAGGACCGGGCAGCGGGGACACTAAGCCCTGAAATCATCTCAAGAGAACCTCAAGATAACCATCGGGGGATCGAACGCTGACCTTGCAAGAAGTCCGCCAGTCGCTGATCTGTTAAGTAAATTTAACTGAGTAATCGCTAGGAAAATTTTAGGACAATGATGATAAACTTGCTACAAGTGCGCCCATATGAAGGGTAAGACCGTGGTCCTGTGGTCTCCCTTCCCCTCACCCCCCAGACCACGAGGGGAGAGGCCCTGGTCTTAGAGGATGAGGGGAAGGAGGGAGAAATATTTCCCAGGATTACCAGAGACGCAGAACCAAGACAAATTGCCCATCACCAAAGTCTTCATAAGTTCCTCTCTTAATCCATTGTTCTGGACCTCGAGGGGTGAGTGGGGGGCGTGAGGGGTGAGTGGGGGGCGTGAGGGGTGAGTGGGGGGCGTGAGGGGTGAGTGGGGGGCGTGAGGGGTGAGTGGGGGGCGTGAGGGGTGAGTGGGGGGCGTGAGGGATGAGTGGGGGGCGTGAGGGGTGAGTGGGGGGCGTGAGGCAGTGAGTGGGGGGCGTGTGGGGTGAGTGGGGGGCGTGAGGGGTGAGTGGGGGGGCGTGAGGGGTGAGTGGGGGGCGTGAGGGGTGAGTGGGGGCGTGAGGGGCTGCTTGAATGGGGGGCGGCGAGAAGGGGGTAAGCTGGGGGAGAGTTGCGGGAAGCACAACTAGCAGAAGAACGGGTGTTAAGCGGAAAAATTAAGGTACTTATCAGGACAAAAATGATAAGTCAGAATGTCTATTTTTTACTACTAGAAGAGTTGTGGTGGACAAGAAGCAGTCCCCACACACCTTCCAGCCTCGAACCACAACCCTGCAACAAGCGAACCCGACACTCACACCGACCAGTTCCCCGCACCTCTGTCGAGGAGTCGAATAGTAAACCCGAATCTCTGGAGTATTTTCTCCAGAGTAAACCCGAATTTTCTGGAGTAAGCTACAGAAAAAGTAGAAGGTAAGGGCGCCCCTACACTGGTCTCTGGTGCTGGGGACCTGACATACGAGCGTAAGGGCGCCCCTACACTGGTCTCTGGTGCTGGGGACCTGACATACGAGGGTAAGGGCGCCCCTACACTGGTCTCTGGTGCTGGGGACCTGACATACGAGGGTAAGGGCGCCCCTACACTGGTCTCTGGTGCTGGGGACCTGACATACGAGGGATAAGGGCGCCCCTACACTGGTCTCTGGTGCTGGGGACCTGACATACGAGGGTAAGGGCGCCCCTACACTGGTCTCTGGTGCTGGGGACCTGACATACGAGGGTAAGGGCGCCCCTACACTGGTCTCTGGTGCTGGGGACCTGACATACGAGGGGTAAGGGCGCCCCTACACTGGTCTCTGGTGCTGGGGACCTGCCATACGAGGGTAAGGGCGCCCCTACACTGGTCTCTGGTGCTGGGGACCTGACATACCAGGGTAAGGGCGCCCCTACACTGGTCTCTGGTGCTGGGGACCTGACATACCAGGGTAAGGGCGCCCCTACACTGGTCTCTGGTGCTGGGGACCTGACATACCAGGGTAAGGGCGCCCCTACACTGGTCTCTGGTGCTGGGGACCTGACATACCAGGGTAAGGGCGCCCTTGAATGAAGTTTTGAGTACAAAACTTTCACACTCAGTATATATCCGTCAAGTGAAACTTTTAGCCAAATAAATTTAACATAATTTAAATTTTCCATGTCTCCTTTCCCTCTTGACCAGGACAACCTCGCCCTCGACCAGGACAACCTCCCCCTCGACCAGGACAACCTCCCCCTCGACCAGGACAACCTCGCCCTCGACCAGGACAACCTCCCCCTCGACCAGGACAACCTCGCCCTCGACCAGGACAACCTCCCCCTCCACCAGGACAACCTCGCCCTCGACCAGGACAACCTCCCCCTCCACCAGGACAACCTCGCCCTCCACCAGGACAACCTCGCCCTCCACCAGGACAACCTCCCCCTCCACCAGGACAACCTCGCCCTCGACCAGGACAACCTCCCCCTCCACCAGGACAACCTCCCCCTCCACCAGGACAACCTCGCCCTCCACCAGGACAACCTCCCCCTCCACCAGGACAACCTCGCCCTCGACCAGGACAACCTCCCCCTCGACCAGGACAACCTCCCCCTCGACCAGGACAACCTCGCCCTCGACCAGGACAACCTCCCCCTCGACCAGGACAACCTCGCCCTCGACCAGGACAACCTCCCCCTCCACCAGGACAACCTCGCCCTCGACCAGGACAACCTCCCCCTCCACCAGGACAACCTCGCCCTCCACCAGGACAACCTCGCCCTCCACCAGGACAACCTCCCCCTCCACCAGGACAACCTCGCCCTCGACCAGGACAACCTCCCCCTCCACCAGGACAACCTCGCCCTCCACCAGGACAACCTCGCCCTCGACCAGGACAACCTCGCCCTCCACCAGGACAACCTCCCCCTCCACCAGGACAACCTCGCCCTTAACCAGAGGAGCCTCGCTAATTTTAACAACCTTTGCAACCATACTACTGGTAATGAAAGACTATCACTGACATATATCAACCATATATTTTGCAATGCCCTGAACAGTTACTGGGGGAGATGAAATATTTTAAAATATAATATAATATATATATATTTAAATGCTTTAACAGCGAGTTTCACCACATTTTAGGCCACTATGTTATTTTATACAGAATATCTATATAATAGAGGCTGGTGAAAGTTTTTTTTTTTTTGATAAGTATGGATTTATATAAACGCTAAACACACACATTAGAGAAGTGAACTAGTTATATGACAACTTTTACTGGGGTTTTTGGGTATGGTTTAATGATTTATATATATATATATATTTTTACGTGTGGTTTAACTTGGTTTAATGTGGCTTTGATTATTTTCTGTTTTTTGTTGATATATAATGTTAGAGAAGCGACATGGAGTATACATTATATGTTCATCCTGAGGGGAGGTGAGGCGTCATCTGTGAGTCCAGCATCCAGGCTAGGACAGAACAGTGTGTCGATATCGTACTCACCTAGAGTACGATGTACTCACTCGACATCGTACTCATCTGGAGTACGATGTACTCACTCGACATCGTACTCATCTAGAGTACGATGTACTCACTCGACATCTTACTCACCTAGAGTACGATGTACTCACTCGACATCTTACTCATCTGGAGTACGATGTACTCACTCGACATCTTACTCACCTAGAGTACGATGTACTCACTCGACATCTTACTCATCTAGAGTACGATGTACTCACTCGACATCGTACTCACCTAGAGTACGATGTACTCACTCGACATTGAACTCACCTAGAGTACGATGTACTCATTCGACATCGTACTCACCTAGAGTATGCTGTTCCCACTCGACTTCGTACTCATCTAGAGTACGATGTACTCACTCGACATCGTACTCACCTAGAGTACGATGTACTCACTCGACATTGAACTCACCTAGAGTACGATGTACTCATTCGACATCGTACTCACCGAGAGTATGCTGTTCCCACTCGACATCGAACTCACCTAGAGTACGATGTCGACCAGATGGTGTGGTCGTGTACCAGTGCTTCTAGTACACAAAAGCAACGCTTTGTACTCAGAACAAAAATAATTACTTAAGTACAAAAATAATGTACTCTAAAGGCATTCTGCTCCCCAGTACTGACCAACGACGTCAATCTCCTCCCCAGTACTGACCAACGACGTCAATCTCCTCCCCAGTACTGACCAACGACGTCAATCTCCTCCCCAGTACTGACCAACGACGTCAATCTCCTCCCCAGTACTGACCAACGACGTCAATCTCCTCCCCAGTACTGACCAACGACGTCAATCTCCTCCCCAGTACTGACCAACAACGTCAATTTCCTCCCCAGTACTGACCAGCGACGTCACTCTCCTCCCCAGTACTGACCAACGACGTCAATCTCCTCCCCAGTACTGACCAGCGACGTCACTCTCCTCCCCAGTACTGACCAACGACGTCAATCTCCTCCCCAGTACTGACCAGCGACGTCACTCTCCTCCCCAGTACTGACCAACGACGTCAATCTCCTCCCCAGTACTGACCAACGACGTCCTTCCTTCAATCATTTTTTACGAAAGAAATCTGAATGAATTTTACATATAAAATCCCCTTAAATAACTCCTTTGGTGACGCCATCTACCAGTGCGCGAGTGAACTTCAGCTTTCCAATACATGATTTTATAGCGCGTATGTTTACAGTGTGAAGGGTCGCCGGAAGCATTCTTCTCTCTCTCTAAACGACATTTGTGCTCGCAATCTCGTGCGTGGCTTGGGTGAGGTTGTGGTGTTGCGTTCGTCAGAGGAGTAGGGTAAGCCACGCTGGCCAGCACCTCTGACGCACCGGTGTTCAGTGCTGATTGACGCAACGGGGTTCAGTGTTGATTGACGCAGCGGTGTTCAGTGCTGATTGACGCAACGGGGTTCAGTGTTGATTGACGCAGCGGTGTTCAGTGCTGATTGACGCAGCGGTGTTCAGTGTTGACTGACGCAGCGGTGTTCAGTGTTGATTGACGCAGCGGTGTTCAGTGCTGATTGTCGCAGCGGTGTTCAGTGTTGACTGACGCAGCGGTGTTCAGTGCTGATTGATGCAGAGGTGTTCAGTGTTGATTGTCGCACCGGTGTTCAGTGTTGATTGTCGCAGCGGTGTTCAGTGCTGATTGACGCACCGGTGTTCAATGTTGATTGACGCAGCGGTGTTCAGTGTTGACTGATGCAGCGGTGTTCAGTGTTGACTGATGCAGCGGTGTTCACTGTTGATTGTCGCAGCGGTGTTCAGTGTTGACTGTCGCAGCGGTGTTCAGTGTTGATTGTCGCAGCGGTGTTCAGTGCTGATTGTCGCAGCGGTGTTCAGTGCTGATTGTCGCAGCGGTGTTCAGTGCTGATTGTCGCAGTGGTGTTCAGTGCTGATTGTCGCAGCGGTGTTCAGTGCTGATTGACGCAGCGGTGTTCAGTGCTGACTGTCGCAGCGGTGTTGAGTGCTGTGAAGGCGGTGGTGTAGGTGTACATTACCTCTCCTCGCCGCGGGTGAGCGGTGGATGGTAAACATTCACAGCGCGCGGGAGAATGATCGTGTATTGTAATATTTATTGTCGCGTGTTTGTTGTGTCATAAAACGTTTATTGTCATTTAGTTATTGAGTATTGTAACGTTTATAGTTATGGATATATTGAGTACTGGATGGTGGCCCTGGTAGTGTCCATGTCTCGTTCTCACTTTCTCTTCTCTCTCTCTCTCTCTCTCTCTCTCTCTCTCTCTCTCTCTCTCTCTCTCTCTACTTCCTCTCCCCTCGACATCCAAACTTCTCTTTCTCTTTCCTCTGTCTCTTCCTTTCTCTCTCTTCCCTCCTTGTGTGGAAGACAGTACAACACAATCAAGACGATACAGGCAAAGTATGATAGAGTTTTTTTTAGAAAACTTTGTCGACATGAGTGCATAGTGTTTTATATCATATAAAGAACAATTTCTTTTAATAATCTCGACTAAAGTTAATATGATGTTTGAAGAACCTACGGGTGGTTACAACTGACACCTGGTTGTATGGCACTCGTTTCACTTTGGCCAACTCCGTTCCGACTATGTTGAGCACGTACCCACAGGAATCACTGTGCAAACTTGGGTGAGACTAGCCCCTAGCATCTGGCTTTGAACCTCAGACAGACATTTTAATTTATATACACATGGATTACAACGTTCATGGCAATGGATTAATTTTATTTTGTAGCGATAACTTTAAAATATTGAGCTGGAACCCCAGCTTGAGAGGTCAGGGGCTGCAGGGAACCCCAGCCTCAGAGGTCAGGGGCTGCAGGGACCCCCAGCTTCAGAGGTCAGGATCTGCAAGGATCCCCAGCCTCAGAGGTCAGGGGCTGGTGGGAACCCAAGCTTCACAGGTCAGGGGCTACAGGGAACCCCAGCCTCAGAGGTCAGGGGCTACAGGGAACCCCAGCCTCAGAGGTCAGGGGCTACAGGGAACCCCAGCCTCAGAGGTCAGGGGCAGCAGGGAACCCCAGCCTCAGAGGTCAGGGGCAGCAGGGAACCCCAGCCTCAGAGGTCAGGGGCTGCAGGGAACCCCAGCCTCGGAGGTCAGGGGCAGCAGGGAACCCCAGCCTCAGAGGTCAGGGGCTGCAGGGAACCCCAGCCTCAGAGGTCAGGGGCAGCAGGGAACCCCAGCCTCAGAGGTCAGGGGCTGCAGGGAACCCCAGCCCCAGAGGTCAGGGGGCTGCAGGGAACCCCAGTCCCAGAAGTCAGGGCCTGCAGGGAACCCCAGCCCCAGAGGTCAGGGGCTGCAGGGAACCCCAGCCTCAGAGGTCAGGGGCTGCAGGGAACCCCAGTCCCAGAAGTCAGGGCCTGCAGGGAACCCCAGCCCCAGAGGTCAGGGGCTGCAGGGAACCCCAGCCCCAGAAGTTAGGGCCTGCAGGGAACCCCAGCCCCAGAGGTCAGGGGCTGCAGGGAACCCCAGCCCCAGAAGTCAGGGGCTGCAGGGAACCCAAGCCCCAGAGGTCAGGGGCTGGGGTTCCCTCCAAGGGTCAGGGGGCTAGAGGATAGGGGGGGGGGAGTGTGTAGTTAAGAGTAGCAGGAGACAGTGAGGGACTCACATTCCTATCGTTCAAACTCACCATCATTATATCTCACTATCAACATCTCCCTCACCATACACCCACATCCCCCCCCCCTCTCCCCGTCACCCCACCCCTCCCTTCCTTCCCCCCTCCCTCGCTTCCTCTACCCCCCCCCCCTCATCTCACCTCATTCCTCCCATTCTCCTCATTTTTCAATCCATCCCCTCCATTCATTCGAGCAAGCATTCCTTCAACCCCTCAACCACCTCTCTTGTCTACACAACACCCCCCCCTCCTTCCACCACCCCCCACCCCTCCTTCTACCCCCCCTTCCACCCCCCCCCCAACAACCACCTCCACCCCCCCCCTACCTTGTGACAGCTACAATCAATATCAGACAATTAGACGCTCGAGTCTGTGTTTCTGCCTCTCACCTGTGAGCACACACTTGTGTCCAGGCTCACTAGCAAGCACACACTTGTGTCCAGGCTCACTAGCAAGCACACACGTGTGTTCAGGCTCACTAGCAAGTACACACTTGTGTTCAGGCTCACTAGCAAGCACACACGTGTGTTCAGGCTCACTAGCAAGCACACACTTGTGTCCAGGCTCTCTAGCAAGCACACACCTGTGTTCAGGCTCTCTAGCAAGCACACACCTGTGTTCAGGCTCTCTTGCAAGCACACACCTGTGTTCAGGCTCTCTAGCAAGCACACACGTGTGTTCAGGGTCACTAGCAAGCACACACGTGTGTTCAGGGTCACTAGCAAGCACACACCTGTGTTCAGGGTCACTAGCAAGCACACACGTGTGTTCAGGGTCACTAGCAAGCACACACGTGTGTTCAGGGTCACTAGCAAGCACACACGTGTGTTCAGGCTCACTAGCAAGCACACACCTGTGTCCAGGCTCACTAGCAAGCACACA